CAGGCAGCGCTCTTTCCTCTGTGTAGTTGGCAATTGCACCTCAGCCTCACCTACTCCTTCAAAACAATTTCAACTTAAACGTTCAACCTCACAGTGCTCCAATACAAAGTTAAAGCAGACAACACAGTCAATTCTCAACAGTTTCAGATAGGATTGAGTTTTCTCAGTACTCTGCAAGAGGTGCTCAGCAGCTCACAGAATCATCATTCATGACTTCAGTTCCTTTGAAAGCCTAATGGAACTAATGGAACCAGGCAGCTTCTTCACTTGAAATCCTAGCTTTGCTAAATGGGTATCACAACTAAGTAGTAACATTAAGTTGCCAGACACATAAATTTTTGGGGGGTTTCTGCACTTCCAGAATTACTCAGTAGACTTTTTGGACTAATATATACTTGGCTATGGGTTGTTTACAACTGTGATTTTAAAAACTACTTCTGATTTTGATGAATAAGCAGCAATCCAAAATAAGATGCCTGAATAAGTGGCCTGATTTTCATAGTATAATCCTTCTAAAAGGCAGCTCTTCTAATACATCCAGCCAGCCAGTTTTGAAAATTTATGCTACGCGTATAGAGCTAAACTTTGCATGCAGTGATGAATATGTATGAAAAAAATCATGGACAATCTCTTACTTATTAGATATTTAAGCCTGTTGCCAATCTTAAACCACACTAAAACCACACAATGAAAGTCGCAGAGCAAGAAGCATGGGAAGACTGCATGTGTTACTGTGCTCTCCCTGCTGCAGAAGTGATTCTGTTTATGGGTCCATATAAGTATCAATTTACCAGTAAAGTCGTCATTGAAGTTCCCGCTTTGTGTCGCAAAAGATGCAGTCTTGGAGTTCAACTGGTTAATAATGAGAAGTAGTTGATTAAAGAATTCAAAGATACTACTGCAGTAGTACTGGGACGCTGGGGAACATGCAGACAGGATTCACGATTCTGGTGTACTACTCCAAGGCTCTGTAACCAGCTCCCTGTATTGTGGTTTTTTATATATATCTATATCTCATATCCGTTTCTTGATTTTTAAATTTACCTGTTTCAAATAACAGTGTAAGATCATTAGCATTCATATAGTGCTTTGAGATCTTCAACTGTAATTGCAACACAAGTGCAAAATTGCTCTAGTTTCCCTTAGTAAAAACAGGTGCACAAGGAAAGGACAATTCCTGTACCACCACCTAGAGAAAAAGCCTACTTGTGCATCATCACCCGAAAAAGATGAGAACTTCCCAAGATTTGCCTTACACAAACTTTGGTAACAATCCTTCCTGCTGCCTACAGCAAACACTAGATACAAGAAAAGGCACCTTTTTTTTTTTTTTTTTTTTTAAGGGAAACAGAGGGGCTGATGGGACATTTTCATGTATGTTTTGCTCATAATAACATTTAATTTCCAACCCAAATATTAATGGAAATATTTAACATGGTTACAGTCTTAATTTTATATATATATATAAAGTACTTCTCTGCAGTGTCTACCATCCAAATTATGCATAAATGGAATAGTGCCCAGACTTGGTGAGATAATTAGAAACAAAACCAGTAAAGCCACACTGCCCATTTAGAAAATAGACAGTACAAAACAGTGAAATAGATCAGTTAGAAATATTCTATGCAACCTAGAATATTACTAGCAACATGAAGTGTCTTGTTTTGCTCTCTGGTAGTCTGACAGCATCCCTTGGAACCATTCTGCACTGATTCATATGCTACAAGAAATCACTTGGCCTTTCAACAGATGTAACTCAATACACATTTTGGCCCTTTTTTGTCTCTTGAGAGGTTTAGAACAGTTTGTACGGGTCATTGGCTACTTCCCTGCCCTGGAACACTTCGCCAGGTTTGGCAGGTTTCAAAAAGGAGGCTGTTGCCATAGGAGCAGAGAGCCATGCCAAGGAAGAGAGTGCCACCGAGGCTACTGACAAGCTGCTCTGCATCCACTTTCTTCATTCAGATGAAGTGGATCCAGCTCTCCTCACATTCTCTAGGCATCTTAAGGGGGTGAGTCCGGCAGGTAAGACTGTAGTTTTTGCCTCTGTTGTTATCCCAATACTCCCGGCCGTTGACTTGGTACCTTGCTGCAAACTGGACAACAGAGCACAGCTGAAGGAGGAAAGGAGGCACAGGGAGAAAGAAAGTGAAAACATCAACCTGATCCTGCCCGTTTTTCTCAGGGATGCTACTGTGCCAATGAGCACACACTTCATGGAGGCTTTTCCACTGGTTGAAGGTGTATCGCACCGATACCTGCTTCTCAAAAGCAACATTGCAAACCTGGATGGTGCCACTGAGCCCCAAATCTGAGCTGGTCACTCGTTCAAGACACACCTGCTGCTCCTGAAGTCGGGAGGAGAAATCCATACAGTCTGCAGGCTGCTGGAAGTCAGGGACCAAGCACTGCATGGTAAACTCCAAGTCCGAGCTGCTGTACCAGAGGTCTGAGTTTATGGAGAGCCTGGAAAGGACATGCAAAGGGATCGACGGATCCTCCCCAGTCTGGAAGACTTTCACTTCAGTGAGCTCTAAGCCCAAAGCATCAGCAAATCTCACCCGGTTCATACGACTCTGGCATCCAGGAACTTGACACGGCACTGCTGCCCGCTTCCTCCTGTCGGGTGATGTAGGTAAAGATCTTGCTCGGCGCCGTATGATAGGCCGTAATGCCGGATCACAGCTGGAGGAAGTGCTGCTCTGAAGCTTATTTGGCTGGGGGCCCCCCTTGGTTGCAGTACTGCTCCGAAGAGTCATGCTGCTATTTGTATGGACTGCTGGGGGCTGCTGCTGCCCTTGTCCCAGTGCTTCTTCAGCCCGTAACATGTTCTGATAGAGATCAGAGAGGTAGCTGGGATTCCTCCGAGGACCACGTACCTCCATTCTTAACCGATGACAAAAAAATCAGCATTAACGCTGCAGGTAATGACCACTGCCTCTCTGAAGCACGTAACTTGGCAATGGCAGCCACGGACAGTATTTGAGGTTATTGCACTGGATGCAGCAAAAATTAATTGGAACAACGTAGCCCGCTGAACGAATGGCAGAAACCTGGAAGCTCTCTCAGTAGCTGGAGGTGAACCAGGGGCTAGTGCATTGTATGGGGAGATGAAGGCGGTCTCACTGGCTGGTAAACTCGAGGTCGCTGTGTTGGCTGGTGGACCCGTTGCTCAGGCTGGAAAGGGATTCAAGGCTGTCACTCTTGAAGCTGGAGGACCTGAAGCTCTCACACAGGCTGGAGACTGACTGGAGGCTGTCGTGCTGGACACCAAAGGACTCCAGGCTGTCAGAGAGGTCACTGGATGCCTGGGGGTTGCTGTGGCGCGCCCCGAAGCACCCTCGGTCGTTACACACGGTGAGAGGGGCCTGCAGGCTGTCCTCGCAGACGCCGACCGACCCCACGCTCCTGCAGCAGCAGCAGCAGGGACACTCCAGGCTGTCACACTGGATGCTGGGCGACTCGCGAGGGCTGCGGAGGCTGGGGAAGGCTTGGAGGCTGTCGGAGGGGAAGGAGCCGGAGCCGAGGCCGGGGCTGCTGCAGAGGCTGGAGGGAGCCCGGGGGCTGT